CCGGCTGATTTTTTGATTTATTGTAGAGATGAGGTCTCGCCAAGTGGCCCAGGCGGGTCTAGAACCCGCGGGCTCAGGCAATCCCCTCACCTCGGCCTCCCAAAGTGCTGGGATTACAGGCTGAGCCACCGAGCCCGGCCTGTGCTGTGACTCTTCATGTAGATCATTCCCATGGCCCGGCTTTTGGATTCTGGATGTGCACACTGTCGCTCACCAGCTGACATCGAGGTAGCGCAGGCTGCTGTTGGTGTACAGCGCGTTACAGAGCTGCTGCATGCCACCGTTTTTAATACTGTGCTTGTTCACGTGGAGCTCAACAAGGCAGTGGTTTTCCTTCAGCATGTGACCCAGATGGACTGTAGACTCTTCCTAAGAGGAGAGGAAATCTTGTTTCTGAAATATAATTTTAAAGTAGAGCCGGGGCCGGACACGGTGGCTCATGCCTGTCATCCCGGCACTTTGGGAGGCCAAGGTAAGAGGATTGCCTGAGCCCGCGGGTTCGAGACCAGCCTGGGCAACTTGACGAGACCTCGTCTCTACAATAAATCACAAAAACAGTCAGCCAGACGTGGTGGCGTGTCTGTAGTTCCAGCTACTTGGAAGGCCGAGGCGGAAGGATCGCCTAAGCCCAGCAGGTCGAGGCTGTGGTGGCCATGAGTGTGCCACTGCGCTCCAGCATGGGCGACGGAGTGAGACTCCGACTCAAAAAAATAAAAATAAAAAATAGAACCTGTGTATTTCAAATATATGTTATTATTTAAGTTAACTTTTTAAAAAAGATTATACTGGTTACAACAGTCTATCTACAATTTGCATTTGGTCTGTCTTTAAAAGAAATCATGCTCAATACATGATGGGGCTGATCGTTTTGATTCTTTTCCTTCTGAAATGATTGTGTGTGTGTGTGTGTGTGTGTGTGCGAGAGAGAGACAGAGAGAGACAGAGAGAGAGAGAGAGAGTGTGAGAGAGAGAGAGAGAGAGAGAGAGAGAGTGTGTGTGTGTGTGTGTGTGTGTGTGTGTGTGTGTGTGTCTGGGTCTCACTTTGTTGCCCAAGCTGGAGTGCAGTGGCACTGGCTCAATCATGGCTCATCGCAGCCTCAAACTCTTGGACTCAGGTGATCCTTTCGCAGGCCTGATGCCCTGAGCCCGGTGCTTCCCGCAGCCAGCTTGTGCCTTTTTTGTAAAGTAGGCAAAATTATGCCTCCCTCACGGAAATAAATTAAGAAATAAAAAGTGTCGAGCACAAAGTAAGTGTTCCATAGCAAACTGCAAAGTATGTATTGTTCAGTCGTCTGTAATTCTGTACTTTATTTGTTAACATGATTGCTTTGACACTGAAAAGAAATATGCCCAGAGGAACGCTGTGTACGCCGGGGCCTTTAAAAGACACACCAGCCACACAGGGTTCCAGCATTGCTAAAGAGAAACTGGGTAGGCCGGGAACGCGGAAAGAAGCGACCGATCCCACCACATGGGGGGCGTCCGCTGTCACCCCACCAGGTGCCTGGCACAGGGAACTCCACGCGCAGCGCGTGCTGGTGCCTGGCCTTGATTGCGGGTTGAGGCTCAAAAGCTTGAAAGAGAGACTGCACTTCTTAAGTGAGGAACGACTTCCAGACACAGTCCAGGACTGCAGCCCCTCCACTGAGTCTGTGGCCTGCCTTGTCTAGAGTGGCCCCTGCCTCCGTGTCTTTCCAAGCCCCCCAGAGGCTGCCAGCGAGTGGTCAGTGGGAAATCCACCATCTCACAGCAGGTGATTCTGTTTCCCCGGATTCTCCCTGGTCACGCACGGTTTTCCCTCATGTGCGACAGGTCTGCGGGCATGTATTTGGGAACAGCACAGCAAAGCACAAGAGAACACGACTCCACAGCATCCAAGAACTGCCCAGAGAGGGCCTCCTGGAGCTGCCAGAAGCACAGGGCTCGGGGCACCACGCCTGTGAAAGGGGCCCCAGGCTTCTATTCGCTACTCTCAGGTGGGTTTAGGAATAATGACGCCACTCAGCGTGTTCGAAAGAGGAAATGGGGCTGTTTGTTTTTTTCCTTTGACCTTCCATCTGACCCAGCAATCCCCCTCCTGGGATTACACAGTAAGGAAATCAAATCATTCTACAAAAAAGATACCTGCACACGTATATTTGTTGCATCTCTATTCACAATAGCAAAAACATGGAACCAACCATGCTGCCCTTGGAAGCTGGACTGAATAAAAGAAATGTGATACATATACACAATGGAATATTATGCAGCCATAAAGAAGGACAAACATATGGACTTTGCGGCAACCTGGATGGATTTAGAGTCTGTCATACTCAGTGATCTATCACAGAAACGAAGAACAGAGTACCATACGTTCCCACTCATAAGCGGACCTTGAACAATTATCATAATACTGTAAGAAAGGGATTGGCAGTAGTGGGAAACTGCCTGGGGAGCGGGGGATGGGCAGTTGAGGGAAACTGCCAGGGGAGGGAGGGGCACACCTCATCCACAAGGGCACCCACATAATCAACGTTTGTAGACCTAACCCTGAGTTGTACCCCACATCTTTATAATAAAGAAAAGAAAGGAAAGCAAGAAAGGAAGGAAATGTACTTACAATGTGATCTGTGTAAACACACTGATTTCCACAGAGATGTAATCCAGAAATGTTGGACGTGGCTGTCAAAGCTGAGAACTCCCCTGCCACACTCCCACCCTGCCTGTTTCGAGGCCTCTCTCGTGCCTCCGGGCTACCCTGAGCATGTCACGCTCCAGACTTGTCACCCTCCAGACTTGTCACGCTCCCTCTGCAAACAAGAAACCCCTTGAAGACAAGGCCGTGTGCTTATCTGTCTTCTCGCTCCAGCACCTAGCACCGGGTCTGGTGCAGGGCTGCATCAAATATTTCTGAGTGGGTGAATATGAATGACGCTGCCAAGTCAGGTTCTTTTATTCAAGGAAGCTCAGCGTCTTGTTGAAAGGATTAAACTTATGTGCATAAAACAACCGGATATAAAACACAAAAATTCTACGACAGAAAAGTGCAGGGAAAATCCAAAGGGAGAGGTCTGTGTAGGTAAGGAATGCAAAATCCGCTTCTGAATATGGAAAAACTACTTTTTAAAATGGCTAATTCTCAGTTATTCATCCTAAAAGGGAACCACGAAATAGATGATTTTAAATTATCTAAAGTGCTTTAGACATGTAAAAAAGTTCCTTTCAACTCTGAATTTGAATCACTGAACTTTAGGTGAATATCTGAACATTGAACTTGAAAGTTCACTTTTTGAACTACATAGAGTGCTTTGAGCATTTAGTTTCCTTCTAGTAGATGCACCTCTGTTTTGTTTATACTGGTAATAAGATGAGTTTGTACTTTCTAGGCTTTTACAACTGATGGGCTTGGAAGAGCCATGTTGTGACTCACCTGTCTGTCCCCAGTGAGCAGCTCACCCATTGATGGCATCGGGTCCAGGCTTGCCAGACAGCTTTTCGCACACACCTTCCGCTCTTAGTCATGATTTCAGAGGGGTCATGGCTCAGCCACATCAATGGATCAGGCAATAGAACATTCCACCCTGGGCTCTTGTGGCCTGGTCTTCAAAACGACTTTCGCCACACCTGCCTCATCCGAACTACTTTGACCCCCCAACCCAGTGTGCTCACTCAGAACTTGAGTTTCCAGAGAAAAGATGACATGCTTGCTGCTTAAGTAAGCCACCTCTAAGAGTGTATTTGGTTATAAACATCTTGTTGGGAATTAACACAATTTTTTTTACCTAAAAGTTTTTATGTGTAAATGGTAGCTTACAAGACATAGTAAGTTCAGCTCTAAAATATGTGTTCATGTACCTTGACATAAACTTCAGTAGTGCCTTAATTGTATGCACGTCTGTTGGCTACTTTGAACACATACCTGTTCGCCATACAGTATGGGCCGGTTCAGGTTTATTCCCTTAATTGCTTGGTTCTGAGATAGCACCGTAGCCAACGCTATCACACTTTGCATTCCCTAAAAACAGGTAAGTTCGTTAAGGAAACTGACCGAGGACATAAGGCAACCTCCCTGCATAAGTATGTCAAGATCAGTTATCTGAACTCTGAGGGAATTGCTATAGCCTAAGCATGCCTTGAACTTTGAATTGTAGGTTGATCGGATTCGAGAGTGAATTGGTGCTGTGTGCTTTCCTCTCCTCCCTCAAGCCTGTCCAGACATGCCGGGGAGTCTCAACGTCACAGTGTCCGTTTGCTCTAGTTGTCCCCAAGCCCTCCGGGGTCTGTGGGTCCCCACTTGCGCTCTGCTGCGTCTGCAGCCCACGCCCTCGTGCAAGCACTCTTCCATGTCACGCAGCACTTAAGAGTGAGGCTCCCACAGCCTCCCTCCAGCTGAGGGAAGGGCCTGTCCCATCACCTCCTCGGACACCAGCACACATGCCAGCTGTTGGGCCAGAAAACCCGCTTCCTCTCAGCCTGGCTCTCTCCTCACCCTCCTACCCAGTTGATGGGGAAGTCTGATGGACCCTGCTGCCTCCAGCAGATGCCTCAAAGTACTCTTTTCCTGTCCGTCGTGACGACCACCACCCCAGACCACGTCCACTCCTCCCACCTGGCCTCCTGCCTGAACCTGAGTGGCCAGCCAGCCTCTGCTTGCCATCCTAGTCTCTTCGGAGAACCCGGTGATCTACAGGCACTGGGCAGTTCCCTCCTCCTATTTGCGTGTGTCACACTTTTTTTTCTTTCTTTCTTGAGGTTTTCCAACTAAAATGGAAGCGTCACAAGGGCAGAGGCCTGTGGGTCACTGTTGCAGCCTCAGTGTCAGCGCAGTGACAGGTACATGTACTGAATGGGTGGCTGCATCTCCCACCCTAAGTAACCCTTTGGAACCTGCCACCCCAAGAGCCTCCTGGCCCATCTCATGTTTGTGTCCAGTGATTTTGCACAAATTCGAGGCTATTTCACAGATTCCCAAGGGTAGGCCTGAAGATCTGAAAGCAGGCTGAAGAAAGTGAAGCCCATAATTTGAAGGCATGCAAAAAGCACACATCCTCGGTTTCAGGCCGGATGAAAGCTAGAGCAGCTTTTCTCTTTCTGGGTTTTTTTTTTTTTGGAGACAAAGTCTCATTCTGTCTCCCAGGCTGGAGTGCAGTGGCATGATCATGGCTCACTGCAGCCTCCAGCTCCTGGGCTCCAGCGATCCTACCGCCTCAGCCTCCCAGGTAGCTGGGACTATAAGTACCACCACAGCCGGCCTTATAGCAGCTTTCAGCATCATCGTTTTAAGTTTGTATGCTACAATATAAGTAACTACTCACTAAAAAGTGTTTTCAAAAGTTAAAAAACAGCCGGGCTCGGTGGCTCAGCCTGTAATCCCAGTGCTTTGGGAAGCTGAGGTGAGTGGATTGCCTGAGCCCATGGGTTCGAGACCCGCCTGGGCAACTTGGCGAGACCTCATCTCTACAGTAAATCAAAAAATTAGCAGGGCGTGGCAGCGCGTGCCTGTAGTTCCAGCTACTTGAAGGCTGAGGCGGAAGGCTCACCGGAGCCCAGCAAGCCAGGTCGAGGCTGCAGTGGCCGGGAGCGGCCACTGCACTCCAGTCTGGGTGACAGAGTGAAACTCCAACTCAAAAACAAAAAACAACAACAAAAAACAAAAAGTTAAAAAACATATACAAATAAAGTAGCATTTGTTTAAATGAACGTTATCTTTTTCTTTAAAAATCCCTTGATGAATGTGAATGGAGGCCTTAGGAATATTTTTTATTATAGTGGGTAATTTTTATATTATTATTTACTATTATCTGATTTTATTAACAGTCTGCACTATTATGTCTAGGAAAAAATACCTCTTCTCTGATATTAGTCACTAAGGGCAAGATTAATTATTCCTAAGGCTCTCATTTGGCTGATTCCTTGAACAATTCTCTATGCTGGCTCCCCGAGAAAATGGCCCACAGTCTGGGTGATATTCTTATAACCAATTTACTCACGAGATCACAGTCACCCAGATCTAATTTCTCTAAGGACGAGTTAATTTGCAGCATTGCAGCAAAAAACATTCCACCCTTGTTTTCAATCTTGTTCCCAGTCATTCTTAGGTATTTCAGAGTTGTATTCTTCTGAAAAAGAAAATAATCAAAACTAGTTAGTTAAGTTTTTAATCTACAGAAGTCTATAAATTACATGAGTTAGGAGATATTACTCTTTTCAGACTCATAAATTGTCATGGCGATAGAATAGGATATATTCCCTAAAGGTAACCCTTAGTTTCCCATAACAGATAAAAAACTAGTTTCATAGTTTGGTAGAAAGATTGCCCAAGAAGCAGGTGCTCAAGCAATAACCAGAAAATAAAGCAGATTTTAATAAACATTCCTTTCAAGGGAAAATCTGTAAATTTATTTTTAAAGACCATTATATCACTTCACTTTTGTATTGAGGTGAAATTCACGTAGCATAAAACTGACCATTTTTAAGTGTACAATTTGGTAGTATTTAGTACAATCACAATGGTGTGCATCCATCACCCATAAATAATTTCAAGACATTTTCATCACCCCCAAAGAAGATCCCGTACCTTAAAGCAGTCACTCCCATTCTCCATACCACTCTTTTTGTTTTTTTAGAAAGCAGGGTTTATTGAGAGGACAGAAAAGCTCCCACATTGGGAGGGGACCTGAAGGGGTTGCCCACCACTCTTAAGGTAAGATAATTTATCCGACATTTGCAAAGTTTAATTCCACTTCTTATACTCTTTTGATAAACATTTCACAAAAAACATTATAGGCATTTCATCATTCTAATGCATACATATCAGGATATATAATAGTGTAAGTAATTATTTCTAAAATGAATTCAAACCCCTCTATCATCATGAAGAAGACAAGGATGTCTGCTCTCACCACTTCTATTTAACATTATGCTGGAGGTTCTAGCCAGGGCAATTAGGTAAGGCAAAGGAAAAAACATCCAAATTGGAAAAGAAGTAAAATTCTGTTTGCACATGACATGATCTTGTAAATGGAAAATCCCAGCCGGGCTCGGTGGCTCAGTCGGTAATCCCGCGCCTTTGGGAGGCTGAGGTGAGTGGATTGCCTGAGCCCACGGGTTCGAGACCCACCTGGGCAACTTGGCAAGACCTCATCTCTACAATAAATTAAAAAAAAAAAAAATTAGCCGGGTGTGGTAGCGCACGCCTGTAGTTCCAGTTACTTGGAAGGCTGAGATGGAAGGATCGGTGGAGCCCAGCAGGTCGAGGCTGTGGTGGCCGGGAGCGGCCACTGCACTCCAGTCTGGGTGACAGAGTGAGACTCCAACTCAAAAAAAAAAAAAAGAAAAGAAAAGAAAATCCCAAGGAATCCACCAAAAAAAAAAACCCTAAAAAACCTGTCAGAACTAATAAATGAGTTCAGCAACACAGCAGGATACAAGCTCAATATACAAAAATTGGCTGTATTTCTATATGCTATGAACAACTCAGATTAAGAAAACAATCCCATTTATAATAGCATCAGAAAGAATATAAGGAATTAATTTAACAAAATAAAAGCAAAACTTGCACATTGAAAACTACAAACCATTGTTGAAAGAAATTAATGAAAATCTTTAAAAAATGAAACACATTTTATGTTTAAGGTTTGGAAGACAATATTGTTAAGAGGGCAAGGCTCTTTATATTGATCTATAAATTTAATGCCATTCCTATCAAAATCCCAGCTGCCTTTCTTGCAGAAATTGATAAATGGACCCTAAAATTCACATGGATATAAATGCAAAAGACACAGAAGAACCAACACATTCTTGAAAAAAGAACAAAGTTAGAGGACTTGCACTTCTTGACCTCAAAACTGACTACAAAGCTATAGTAAGCAAAATAATGTGGTACTGGCATAAGAATAGACATATAGATTAACAGAATAAAATTGGGAGATCAGAAGTAAATTTCCATATTTATGACCAAATGATGTTTGGACAGAGCTTTCAAGACAATTCAGTGGGGGAAAGAGCAGTCTTAACTCTCTTAACTCTCTTAAGTTGGGACAACTGGTTAGCCACATGCAAAGGATAAAGCGAGACTCCTACCTCACATCATATCCAAAAATTAATATGAAATGGACCAAAGAACCAAAGAAAGAGCTAAAACTGTAAAAACTCTTTAAAAAACATAAATGTAAACCTTTGTGACTTTGGGTTAGGCAAAGCCTTCTTAGAACACCAAAAGCATGAGCAACAAATAAGAGATAAATTGGACTGTATCAAAGTTACAGTTTTTATGCTTCAAAGAACACCTTCAAGGAAGTGAAAAAGCAGTCTACGGAATAAGAGTAAACATTTGCAAGTCATGTGTCAGATAAGGGACTTCTATCCAGAATATATAAAGAACCCTTGCATCTCAAATAGACAATCCAATTTAAAATGGTCAAAGAATCTGAAAACACGTGTCTCCAAAGGAGCTATACAGATGGACAGTAAGCACATGAAAAGATGCTCAACATCATTATTCATCAGGGATCTGCAAGTTAAAACCCACAAAACCTCTTTGTCCCCACTAGGGTGGCTAAAACCAAAATGGCAAGAACTCGTAGTGAGGACGTGAAGAAATTGGATCACTCACACATTGTCGGTGGAACTGTAAAAAGACGCAGCCCCTTGGAAAAGTAATTTGGCAGTTCCTTACGTGGTTAAAAAGTTACTTTATTACCCAGCAAGTCCATTCCCAGGTATAGACTCCCTAAAACTGAAAACACATCCACACAAAAACCTGTGACTATCCATTGAGCCTTACTCATAGTAGCCAAAATGTGGAAACCCGAATGCCATCCACGATTCACGAGCAAAATATGGTCTACGCATACAAGGGAGTGTTGTTTGGAAACGGAAAAGAATGAGTCTGAAGCAACATGAATGAACCTTGAAACATTAAACGGTCACAAAAGGCCACACAGTGTATGATCCCGTTGATAGAAAATGTCCACAATGGGCAAATATATGTATGTTATGTATAGAGAAAGCAGATTGGTGACTGCCAGGGGCTGAGGAGTGGGGGTAAGAATGGAGAGAGATTTAATGGGGAGGGAGCTTCTTTCTGGGGTGATGAGAACGTTCCGGAAATAGTGACAGTGGTGAAGTTGCACAGCTCTGTGACTACTTACAGACCACAAACTGGAGATGTTAAAAGTATGTGAATTATGTCTTAATAAAGCTGTTTATTTTTTTAAATGAGTTCAAAGGTGTTCATGCAATGTCTACACTTGAATAAATGACTGCAATAAAGACATACATTCTTACAATATCGAAATGATATAAGCTCATATTAACAGTTGATTCTGTTGGTTCCAAGCCATCAGAAGTTAAAATTCCCAAGCAAAATGCTAGTGGGAGGTAGATAAATGCTTACATGTAGTGCTTTAGCGATCAGTTCTCCACCTTCAGGCCCAATGTCATTAAACATAAGGTTTAAGTAAATGAGATTAAGTTGTCTCTAAAATAAGGAGAGAAAATAAGCTATTACACATTATTATTAGAAACTGATAAACTTTATGTATATGCATGTGTATATTGCATGTGTATATAATTTTTTTTTTTATTTATTGTAGAGATGAGGTCACGCCTGCCCAGGCAGGTCTCCAGTGTCTTTCAAGTGTTATAAAAACAGCACAAAGTCAGGACCCTGGGTATTTTGTAAAACTAGCCGTGTGTTTGTGTGTGTGTGTGTGTGTGTGTGTATGTGTGTGTGTGTGTGTGTGTGTGAGAGAGAGAGAGAGTGCTTGTATGTCATTAGATGAATTGGTTTCACTGTAACGGAACTAAGAACATTTTGTAGTAAAAGTTACCCGAAGCAGTTTTGCAGCATAGTATGCGCCAACATCACTTAAGAGGTTGTATCTGACATCCAAACCTGAAAGACACAGACAAATAGAAGCTGATATTCCTCAGAAAGAATGCTCAAAATCCAGACAATGAAAAGCAGGAGGTACTGATTCTTAAGGAAACATACCGTTGATATATAGATGTTTCTTTAAAATTCTGGAAAGAATCCAAAAATCTTCACCTGTTACTCTTTCTACCGGCACCAAGCGATTGTTACCAGCAATGTTCAACGTGATTCCTTTTTCCAGCCTGTTAAAAATACACACACATGCCAGGCCCGGTGGCTCAGCCTGTAATCCCGCGCCTTGGGAGGCTGAGGTGAGTGGATTGCCTGAGCCCTCAGGTTCGAGACCCACCTGGGCAACTTGGCGAGACCTCATCTCTACAATAAATAAATTTTTTAAAAATTAGCCAGGCGTGGTAGCACGCGCCTGTAGTTCCAGCTCCTTGGAAGGCTGAGGCGGAAGGATCACCGGAGCCCAGCAGGTCGAGGCTGCGGTGGCCGGGAGCGGCCACTGCACTCCACTTTTGGCGACAGAGTGAGACTCCAACTCAAAAAAATAAATAAAATAAATAAATAAAATACACACACATAAAAATTTGAAGTGGAAAGAAACCCAGTAAGGAAGTAAAGTATTTTCCCTCATGATGGATAACATTTACTGGAACCAAGTGTGTACTAGACTTAAGAATAGATAGTAGATTTACAACAGGTAACTTAACACTGCTAAACAGTGCAGACTTTGCAAAGTGCTTCAATAGATGCTGTGTGGTGTAATTTAATTTCTCACCCACAAAGCATCCCCACTTTACAATAACAATATTGGAAACAATGATTTGCCCAAACTCACCCAGCTCACGGTAGTTAGATAAAGATGGTAAGCTTGGGGACTCCTGATCTAGTGCTCTTTCCAGAATATGACACCACCTCTTATTCCTCCTACTAACAGTGTCGCTCATTTACTTACTTGTCTGAATCAAGGCATCCATCCATCCTACCAAGCATTTTCAGATGACTGTAAGATTACTCAGTATTCCAGGACTTTCACACACATGAACATCAGTGACTCCTACTGATGTCATCAGGTGTTTGTCTTACCCCTTTTTAACTGCTTCATCCACTTCTTGGAGTATATGCGATATAAAGGGATTGATTTTCTTGGATTTTTCCACACACCGATTATGATAATGTTCCTGGAGACTGGTGATAGATTCTGGAGGTTTTGAAAAATAAATGCATCCTTTATCACATATACAATCTTCCAGAAGCTTTGTTTAAAAAAGAAATAGTGGGGGTGGGGAAGAACAGGAAACAATTAAGAACAGAAGAAGAGAGAAATAAACATAAGCAACGGGAGAGAGGGAGCAAATGTTGTCGGAGAACGAGGGCCACAGAAGGTGACGGTGGGCCGGCTCGCTCGTGTCGGCACAGCCTGCAAGCTGCGTAAAGGGAGAGCCAACCTTGATCGTGCACCAGGCCGAGAGCTGGCGAAAACAGCACCCAGAGACTTTCATATCTTCCTCATACTACGCTGCTAGCCAGGGCAGAGTACAGTCACACTGACGCCAAAACCTCTTCCCCACGGTGCCACAAGTCAGAGGGACTCATGGCTTTCTAAGAAGCTTCAAATGCAGACCATTTCATCTGAGAATCTTAACTCAAAGGGGCCTGGAGATGCCCCTGGCCCATAGGCTTCCGGACACCCTCTCAGCCTTCCAGGCTGATGGCGTCTCTGGACAGACTCTGCCTGTTTCCCCCCATACTGAGTTGAGGCCTGCTGCCTATGTGCCGTCCTGCCTGGCCTTCCATCTTTCTTTCTAGAGGTGGTTTCTTCCCTGTTAACTTCATAAGAAGACAGAAACAAAGCAGGAGTTGAGGCCTCCTTTCTCTGTTACATGTGCAGCTTTCCTTCATGGTCTTACGGTTTCCAATATCTTTTTTGTCTTTTTTTGGAGTCAGGGTCTCATTCTGTCACCCAGGCTGGAGTGCAGTGGCACGATCGTGGCTAATCGCAGCCTAGACCTCCTGGTCTCGGGCAATCTTTCCGCCTCAGCCTCCCAAGTAGCTGGCATTACAGACATGTGCTACCATGTCCAGCTAACTTTTTAAAAATTTTTTGTAGATTTCACTATGTTGCCCAGGCTGGAGTGTACTGGCACGATCATGGCTCACCTCGACCTCCTGGTCTCAGGAGATCCTTCTGCCTCAACCTCCAAGTAGCCGGCATTATAGACATGTTCTACCATGTCCAGCTAACTTTTAAAAAATTTTTTGTAGAGCTATGTTGCCCAGGCTGGTCTTGAACCCCTGGGCTCAAGTGATTCTCCTGCCCCAGCCTCAGCCTCCCAAAGTTCTAAGATTACAGGCCTGAGCCACTGCCTGGCCTATTTTCAATATTACTTTAAAAGCCTCTTTTGCAAGGCCCAGGTCTTCTGGGATGGAAGTTCTGCTGTTACTTTTCTTAGACGCACAGGCCACCATCTGTCTTTCTACCTTTTGTGGCTGACTCTTTGAAAATCTTGCAGAACAAGATTTAAGATGATGAACATTATATTTTAAATGAAAGCAAATATAATTTTCTCGTAGTTTTAAAAAATAACTCTCGGGGGGGCTGAGGTTAGAGGATCGCTTGAGGCCAGGAGTTGGAGACCAGCCTGGGCAACATAGCAAAATCCTGACTCCACAAAAAAATTTTAAAAGTTAGCTGGGGTGGTGATGCACACCTGTAGCTCCAGCTACTTGGGAGGCTGAGACAGGAGTATAGCTTGAGCCCAGGAATTCAAGGCTGCAAGTGAGCTGTGTGACCGCACCATGGCACTCCAGCCTGGGTGACAGAGCGAGATCCTGTCTCAAAATACATAAGTAACTTACAAAAATTAATTTAATATACAGCCTTCCAGACAACTTGGAAACTTCAATAGAAAAAAATACATGTGTATCAGCAATCCCACTGCCAAAGAACAACCACAATTGAGGTCTAGGGGTACTTTCTTCCCGCTGTTTTTCTCTTATGTGTATATAGAAGCATTTTTTAAAGCAAAATTGAAATATCTGGGTATAATTTTATACCTTTTCTCCCAGTTCACATTATATTGTAAGCAGTTTTCCCATGCCATTAGATCGTCTCTGAAAATGTTTAATGTCAGTCTAATTTCTGGATGTACACAGGGAAACGCGTCACTTATTTCAGGAAGTTTTCATGTGTTTAAATGAGATTGCAGCACAATATTCCCCAGTGTTCGTGGAAGTCCTACAAGGCGATCGCAAGTGGAACAGGTTCAACTGCCCATCAGTCTGAGAAGTGCGGACCCCACAGAATGCCACAGAACCCTCCTGCGACCCTTCCACAAGAAACACGCACAGGCACAAGGCGCTTCACGTGGTGCCCTGGAGGGGGGATGGGGAGGGGGAGGGCTGGCTTCCCGGACTCAGGAGGCCAGACAGCTGGGAGCCTTCTGGAAAGCAAGGCTGCATGGGGCGGTGCGCGCGCTTAAGGCCCAGCTTCTTCGCGGCTGCCCACCGCATCCTTGGACAAAACCCGCCTGCACGCCAAGGTCCGGAAGTGAAGGCGGCAACCCTCGGTCTTCAAAGGGGGCGAGGGC